AGGAAGCCGAAAACTTCACTGATTACCTTGGCCAAGTTATGTGGAAGTTAACCGAAACTTGTGCCACTTTGAAGCGTGTATGGTGATTTGCTAGAGTGCAATATTATCAGTTTACCATGCATGGTGAACGGGATCAAAGAGCCAATAGACCTCTTTGGCCTGAAACTGAAAAACATTTCCGATTTCCATATCAATCTCTGTCATTAGCATAATTCGATTTTGGGCCTTCTTTGCCATATGTTACGTCAATTGGCGAATTGGCCGAGCCCACAAATCGTTGCCACTCAGTTGACTTTTCGCATCGAATGGTGAAATAAATCCAAGCCATAACCCAAAAGTGGCTATATGGGCAGGATACGTAATGCATATATGAAGATTCCAATGTGGGTTTTAGGTTCCCGCACATATTTTATATGCAGAAGGAGGGCATTTGGAAATTGGGAATGCATGCATTATATCATTTTATACCCTTTAGTCAGTAGGTCGATGTGCAGCCTTTGTCGTTCCGATTAAAACTTTGAAATGCGTTTTAGAGACTTCGATTTGCACAAAAACCAACTGGAAATGCACAAAAATACGAACATTTTCGCCATAAACGCATGAGCCTTTGTCTTTTGTTATTAACATTCGGAATAGTATATTTTTGGGTCGGATAAGCGCCTGATCTATTACGAATTGTAGTTTCTATGTGCGACTTTTTGCATTATTTTTTGCCAGCCAGCTAGATTTATGTGACTCACTTTGCCCACTTTCACCCGGCGGGCAGAAGCAGCTGCATCTGCCCCAGCCTTTTCCGCCATTTCCCCGGCTTTCCCTCCGCTTTTCCTCTGCCCCGCCATCGCTTTTCGCTCGCCAGTTTCATCTTGGGCTTCATCTCTGGCTTTGGCTGCTACTCCTTTGGCTTTGCCAGTGGCTCCTTGTGTTTCCCAGGCAGCCACTTCTGTCCGACCAAAATGTCATATGAATATTTTCGCGCTCGACTGTCGCAGATGTGTGGTACTTAAAAGCACACCCGAAAAACTGGCGCTATGAAACTGATTTAGCCAGATTTCTATACTGGTAATTATGATTGGATTATGAAAGCGCATATATAAATATTCTGTAATCCTGTATAACTCAATAAATGTGACACACAAGTGTATGGCATAGCTTTGAGTTACTACACCATTTCTCCCAGTGCACCTATCACACACAGTATCTAAGCATTTCCATCTCTATCTAAAATTGTTTGTCTACTTGTGTTTTGCACAATTTTTGTGCATTTTGGAGCAGCTAACACAATTTGTGTGTGCCTGATCTTGTGATAGCCCCGTCTACGTTTCCATCTACGTTAGTCAGCCATGTGAGCCCCCACCCAACAGTACATACATACATTCGTATGTATGTACGTATATTCCGCCTGCTGCCACTAACTACAAGCTGACTGTCGCTATAATTTTCCAAAAGGATTTACAATGTTAAAATTACTTCCTAAGCCATCCGACCATGTCGTCGTCGTCGTCGCCGTCGTTTCGTATGAGGAGCTCCATCTGGATTGGGCTGGAAATGGGTAGCACTACCAGGACGTCGAGCGGGAATCGGATGAGCAGGAGGACACAAGGGTCTGCCGCGCTGAGAAGTCGGCAAAATGGCAAAACTCGCGAGGCTTTTCGTCTTTTTCTGCAGTTCCCAGCTAAGCGCAAATCCGCGCTAAAACCGATTGGCGATGTCATCGTGAGTCACGCCAAAACAATTGCAGTTAAATAATAAATAGTAATAATATTAAATACATAATATACAAATCAATCGCACTGCGCTCTGCAGCAGAATATCAGTGTAAAGATATTGCCAAAACTTGTAAATACGTTTTATTTTATTTTCTCTCACCCATTCGCCTTCGACTTTCGGCTGCTTGTTTTTCGCTTTTGGCCAACACGCCAATGTCGTCCTGGCTCTTGCTTTCTGGGCTTTGGGAGACCATTTTTTAGCCATCTTTCTTGCCATCCTTTGGTAAGCTTTACTTTTTACTTTTTGCCCCCTTTTTTGCGGGCATCTTGTCATCCTTAGGCTTTTGGCGTTGTTCAACTTTCGCCAGCCGCCCACATGAAATGGCAGATGTTGTCGCCGCCCCCGAATTCTTCTGTTTCCGCTTGATTCCCCTATTTCCCCCATGCCCACATCCCATATACCCCTTGATTTGCCAACTTCCCCCGAAGGCCGAAAAAAAAGGATTGCGTTCTCTAAGTCATTCTGTCGTTGCCTTTTTGAACTTTAATATACTGCAACATTCATGTGTTTGCGGAGGCGACACCCGACATCTATAGTCTCTTTCCCTCGCTCTGTTGCTGTCCCTCTCAGCGCTTCATATAGCCCTCGCTTGTCTGTCAAAACGCCGTCCCTTTCGCACACTCTGCTAAGGACAGAGGACAACTCAATTTTACAAAGCGCGTTGATGTGAGCGTGCCACCACACACACCCACACACACACACCAATTAGAGGGTGCGAAGGAGAGGGGTGTGGAGTGCGCAAAAGAGAGGGCAGAGGCCTTCTAATAGTAATGCCATTTATAATTTACTGTCGTCGATTTATAAATGAGCCTAAGCCATCAGGACCTGAGCCCCCGCCTGCGCTCCATGTCCTTGCAACCAGCTACCACCACCAGCGGCAGGATAAAGACTTTCATTCCTTAACCCCGCAGCTCTTCATCCAGCTCCGTGCATTCCGGAGACCAAGAGCAAAGCTGCCAAGTGCTTAACATAATTTTAGGCGCATTTGTGGCATTAACATGGTGGCATTTGCATGTGGCAGGGTAGCACAGTGCACTAATCAGTGTGTTGAGTGCACTGGGAGCAATTTCACACTGGTTTCTTGGTCAGTAGTGCGCTGTACCGACTGGCAGACGGAATTTCTGCCAGTGCAGTCGCATTAGAGGCCACAGGTGCGGCCTGCAATGGAAGCTCTTAAGCTGACCCGAAGTCTGGCATCTGTACTGGCCGTAATCGCAGAAGGCCCACAAATATGCGGGTATATATAGGTGCATACATATATAGAGCCGTGTGTACGGGTCTAATCGTGCCACATGACACATGCCGCACACTTATTAGAATTTCATAAAGTGGCCGCATGCTGCAGGATGCCGCAAACCATGCTAAAATCCCAGATTAATGAAGCGTTTTAAGTTTTTCTCCTATTTCTGGCCACAGAGCGGGTAAATGAACTGTTCCAGCCAGTGTAAGCACAACTTTTGTATGTCAGCTATTCAACATAATAAATAGCAGTCAATTTAAGAACATTTGACACCCATTACGAAAGCATTAATGGCGCTCGGGAGTTTTTAAGCCCATTTAAATTCCTCCACCATTCGATTGGGAGCGAAATTTAGCCATGCCATTTGCAGTAATGGTTTTCCCCAACCGAATAAGCACACAACGACTGTACTTAGCATATGCACAAGACTGTTCGTAATTTGTTATATATGGCAGAAGACGACTCAGCCCAAGTCCCAGTTGCAGTCCCAGTTTCAAACTTATAAAATTATGATACCCAGAAAGCAACAAATTTTAATTGCAGCTAAATTTTCGTAATTCACACAGCGGCAGGAGAAATGTTTGGGGGATTTGCAATGAGCAAGCCACATGCATGGCGCCAACATATCGTGGATACAAATGTATCTGGGGTAGCACTGGAGCCAGGCTCCACTGTACCCGCACCGTGCCAGCGCCACAGTAAGGCAAGACAAACGCTCTAAAACTCGCTAAAGTTTTCGGGGGCTATGCAACTGTAACTGTGTAACTTTCTCGACTCGTCTGTCTGTCTCGTGGATACCCTGGAATGCTAGGGTATGCCGTTTAAAGTGCACAATACCAGCAGCTTTGGTAATTCGGAAATAATATGTGGCCTAAGCGGCTGGCCTTGATAGAAAAGCATTCTTATGGATTTCTTCCGAAAGGCCGAAAGGCATGTGAACATGCGCAATTAAGAGGTATTTCGCGGCTGAAAACCCCCGAACTTTATCTCCACCTTTCCTCGACTGTGTGTGCGCATGCTGGCATTATAAATTTATTTAGCAAAAGCGCGTAAAGCGCATAAATTGCTGAGCGCAAGCTGCTCAAGGGGTGTCCTTCGTCCTTCCTCCTTCGTCCTGGGAAGCGGAAACGAAAAAGAAGGATGAAGGAGCCAGCGGAAAACCCAAGGAGTAAAATTCGCCACGAATGCGATGTGTGTGTGTGTGGGTGTGTGTGAAAAATTGAAATTTATTGTTACTGTAAGCTCCGTGCAAAAACACACACACACACACACACACCCAGTGCAATTGTGGGGTTAAGGTGGCCAAGGGTTAAAGCGGTGGTTTCACCTTTTGCTGTTTGCCGTTGAATCACTCCACTCGCCGACAAAATAATAATGCAATAATAATTTTTCCAACTCGTTAGCACATGAAAACGTGTACGCTCCACACACACACACACACACTCGAATCCAGAATACACACACAGAGAGAAATGAAATGAGCATCGGGGACTCCGCGTATGGCCAAAATTAATGATGCGAAACCTTTTGTGGGCGGAAAAGACACAGAAACAGAGGCTAGCTATGCGAACATTTAAGCCAAAGGAAATATTTGCAAAATTCAATACCATGGTTATTACAGATACAGATACAGATTATTTATTACTAGCCAGCGTCCTTTTTTGCCCCAAAACTTGGGGCGCCACCCCATTCGCGACACCTGCGATGCTTCAACATGGTTCCTGGCCAGATAAAACACAAGATATCCATTTGGGACAAGTGGTCGTGGCGATGACAGGACCGCCGCACAAATAATTGAAATCGATTCAGCGGCATAAATTGCTTTAATTAAACGAGCGGAAATAATAAAAGCGCCGTGACGAAAGCGCTTAGCACAGCTGTTTCGGCTGAAAAATTGTGACAGCCATCGAGGGATTTTGCTCTCCGCGATTTCGCCAAATTTAGATGCCACTGATATTTGCCAATCAATATTATGGATATCAAAGTTGACCACTGCCCTAGTGTGCTCTTTTATTATAAAAGATATATGTACACAGTTTGGGGCATTTTAATCGAACATTTTGTAGTGGTTTCATGTTTAATTTACAATTTAATATTGAGAAATCCAAACAAAGAGATAATTGGCCGATTGGTGTATGTTAACTGCAATTTGAAGGGGGCGGCGGCAGGGGGTCATATGCAAAAATATGAAGGCTGTGCATCCACATGCCTACGGCGTTGCATCCACGTCGAGTTGCTCCAACAACCTGAGGATCATCAGCTCGGTATTCAGCAGATAGTTCTCCATGGGACGCACATGCTCCACGGACGATTCCTCGGTGTAATCCACGGTCTCCGGCAGGATTAGCTCCCTCAACCGACAGACATGCTCATAAAAATACGAATCGCTTGCGTCCTGCACCTCGGCGTTGAAATCGGAGTGGGTACAGCTAAGGTGGCCATCCTGAAACATGGCCAAATCATTGAAGTTCTCGCCACTTGTGCCACTAAACAAGTTGGTTTCCCACGGATTGGCATGGCGTCCACCTTCCAGTTCGCGAATACGTCGCTCCAGCTCATCCCGCAGCTCAACACGTCGGTTTGCCCGCTCCACCAGTTCGCTCAGACTTGTCCGCAAGCCTTCCAGTTCGCGTTCAATGGTTTCTCGATCATGCCTGAACTGAGCCTGGAGAGGTTCCGCTACTGGCTGTTGTGGCTCTCCCGGCTCACCTGGCGCTCCGGGCACTTCCGCCTCCTCATCCTTGTCCTCGGAGTCCTCAGCAATGGGCTCCAGATCATCGGAGTCCGGCAAAAAGTGCGAAAAGCCTCTGGACCAGCGGAATGAGGTTTCCGTGAGCCGCTGAGCCCTGCGTATCGCGTAGTTGACGAGGACATGGATACAAATTGTGTGCGAATAGGGACCACTGGGCCTGGGCAAGTGATAGCAGCATTCCTCATCGTATATCCACTCCCTGGGCGTGTCCACGACGAAGCCCCTGGAGCGGCAGGACTTGAGGAACTCGCGACGAGTCGTGTACAAATGCTGCAACTGGGCCACGGTAATCGCACAGCTGATCCGCTCACGCATACGGCAATCGCCGCGAAAGATGTTCATGAAGGGTTCGTTGGGCTTCCACGGAGCCATGGCACTGCTCCAAAACCGCTGCAGCATGCTCAGTGGCAAGAGGGTGAGCCGAAGGCAAGCCATCAGTGGAGCCGTCGCTCTGGCCATGTCGTGCGCATTGACGGTCAGCCACCTGACAATGGCCACAATCACCTCCACCTCGGTATTGACGCCCAAGGTGTCCTGCTGCAGCATGGTCATCACATCCTCCAGCGGCATGCGCAGGAACTCATTTCCGCCGATCACGGCCAGAAAAGCATTGCCGATCCTTTGCAGCATCACCTTGCGCAGCGCCTCGAGCTGCGGATAACGCAGGGCGTTCAAGTACACCTGAAAGGCGATCTCCTCCCGATAGTGGACGGTGCACAGTAGTTCATAGCACTTCGCCAGCAGTGTGGGCATCTCCAGCTGCATGGCCGTGTGAGTGAGCACCACCAGCTTCTCCGGCGGCATCGACGGCTCCAGGGGCTGCTTCAGTCTCATCCACGTGTAGGCAGCTCGGAAGCCCACCGCCAGCAGGTCGGCGCCCTCGCGAAAGCGAAATCGATATTCGCAAATTGAGCGATCAATATCGATAACAAAATGGTGTTCGCTGTTTACCGGGCGCAGGTGGCGTTCGAAATAGTTGCTATGGAATTTCAAAAGTGTTGAGTAACACGAAAATGATGTTGTGCCCACGCAAACCCTCGTTGTTTTAGTCAGATTGGAGAGCATCGCCCTCCAGCAAGCCTTCGGATTGGCCAGTGGACAGATGTCACGTTTCCAACGCTTCACGTGCTCATGGGCCAGCTCCACTTTGCGACGCCCTTCCTCCAGGGAATCCGCCTCGCTGCGCAACGCGGGAGATGCGATCCCATCCGGATCTTGGGTGCCATTGACGTCCCCCATAATTCCTTATCGAACCAGCAATCGAAAAAAACGGAATTAATTCAAAGGAAACGATATTAAATGCAATGCACTCCTGTCTACAACAAATTTCAATTATGTATTTCTCAAGAGTGCGCACAATTAATATCCGGCACTTCAAAACACACCGCGGGGCATTGCGGAATTGGCTGGTCGACTCGATTATTCAATTACTCGATCATGCGCGCGATTGCACTTACCCAATACCAAAGTGTTGTATCAGAAGGAGTGCGCTAAAATATAAAAACGTTTACGAATTCTACACAATGTTAGGAGTAATGCTGCCCACAGCCTGATTTCACTCTGAACGAAGCAATATAGGAACTGGTGCTTCCCTTCCCTACCATGTGAAAGTAAGTGCTTGACTGGCATGGCCCACTGCGATGCGTTGTTTTGTCTATAATTTCAAGTATTTTCCCTTGAATGATTTCACACAGAACTCGAAATGTACTCGAAATATGCAGAATCGCTGATGTGGTGCTGTGAAATGTCCCTCATCCGCTCAGAATCGCCCGAGGGCTATCCGCATTCATCACTGCGCGTGATGGGATTTTGGTGATTGGTTTTGGCCATGCCCCGCCCGCCCGTAAGCCAATCACTCCTGCTGAGCATATTTCTGGGCCAGCTAATGGAATTTTAGCACAAATTAGTTGTATTGCTTAGATGCCAGCTCGTAATTTGGTAATGCCAAGTGCCAAGTGGCAAGTGGCAAGTGCCAAGTGCAAGTGGCAAGTGGCAAGTGGCAGGAACAGGAACAGGAACAGGAAGAAGAAGCCGGAGTTGACCTGCGGCATTTTTGGTAATTACGACAGAGCCCGAAGAACCGACCGCAAAAGCAATTTTCTTGGCCACGACACTTACCGCCCACTTTGGCCAAAGGAAGTTTGCCTAACCTGATCTCCACTTACCGCCGCCCCCGCTCGCTCGCATTCAATACATTCCTCGGCTTCCTGGGCAATAAAATCAAATCAACAGGGCAACAAGTGCTGCTTTTCAGCGCCCGCCAGGGTTGTCAACCCGCCGCAAAATGAAATCATTTAACCCGAGGCCAGCGCAATGCGAGCGAAAAACGAAAGGGAGCGGCTAAAAAGCGAAATAATATTGAACATGATTTATGCCATTTCACTTTGAGCTCAAGAAAAATATTTGGCGAGTGGAAAAGCGAAAAACCGCCGGGCCAAAAGCGAAAAAGGTGAAGTAGAGCAATTCTTGAGGACGACGACACACTGGCAGGAAAATGCAATATGCTGCTGGTGTAGGGGAAAAATAATTATTTTTCGGGAGCCTGGCAAAGCCAAGAAGCTCAGCTACGAACTCGATGGAATATTCTTTAGAATAAGTGCGCTAAGTAAATATTTAAGGCCTGCGCCACGTGCCCAGGAGACAATTGAAAAATTATGCTAATTTCCCGGCCTTGTGTGTGTGTGTGCTGTTGTTTTATTATTTCTTTTTTTCGCTCACTCGTGGGAGTGAGAGCGGATTGCATAACCAGTTCCAGGAGTCTAATGGAGCCGGAGCCAGCAGAGGCAATATGGAAAAATCTCACAAACCCAAAGGGTTTTCGTTGCATTCCGGCACGTTGGCAATTTATTTGCTGCTCTACCCCCTTCCCCCCTCCCGCTGGCAGTGGGCGTGGTCCAACTATTTAAGAACACACACAATAGGAGCGCTTCCAGGAGGCGAGGGGCAGGAGCTTCTTCCGTGATTAATGCCCGTCGTGGGCTTCTGTGCCTTCGTGTGCAAATTTCGTGTAATCTACTTTAAAGCCCGGCATTGCATAATTTTAGGCAGGAGACCCACCTGCCAGGCACTTCGGCCCCAGCCACACCGATATGCTAGCCAGGATTAGCTGGCCGACGAGGAGCGGCGGGATGGGCAGCAGTTTCGGGCTCGAGTCGAGCGCGCTACCTTGGACCGGTGGGTCAAAGTGGGTTAAGGTGGGTTAGAGTGGGTTAGAGCGGGTTAAAGGCGGCTATGGAGTGATATTGAAATCATTTTTGACAGGCACATTTGTCTTGGTCCTTTCAGCCGGATCAAGTTGTCCACGGTTGAGCTGGGCCTTGCTTCGAGGTTGGGCTAGGAAAAGATTACTCTCTCATCTTGGAATAAATTCGAAATGCGAGTTTTCGAAATATTTCAAAGGATTGAGACGCAGCGCTCCCAAATTCATACGCATTCGTTGCTGCTCAGGGGCCCTTTTTGATGGATTTTGGGCGAGCGGACTGGAGTGGCTCCACAAGAAAGCGGTTAAGCTCCAACTTTGTCTTGGACTTGAAGCTGAGCGGCTCTAAAATTGAATCATGACCACTTTGAGTGGCTCTTCAACGGGATGGATTGAAAATTCGAAATCGCTTGGCCATCGCCTGGGCGTGGGCATGAGCATAAAATTGTCAGGCAGCCACATAAACATTGGCAATATGGTGACCTGCGGTTATGCAGTGGGCAGTGGGTTGTGGGCTGTGGGGCACTTGGCCCAAGTTCAGAAAGGGGCGTTGGTGGCCGGTGGGTGGAAACGCCTGCGCCTGATGTCCTTGTCGTGTCGTGTTCCGCGGTTTCCCTTTAGTGGTCGTAAACAATTTTTACGGCCCAAACATTTGGCCGCCCTTTGGCCTGCGCCGTTTGCTTGCTTTTCTTTATGCTTTTATATTTACTGTGCTTATATATTTAAAACAAAATAGCGCACACCATTTTAGGCGCCTCCAACGCCGTTCCAAGGGCACTAACTTTCCCACCTACTCGAATCGGTACTTGAAAAAATATGCATTTGTTCGAAACTATTTCCATTTAAAATGCATATTAATTATGTCTTGAAAACACAAGTGGCATGACCATGCCGTATAAGTTAGATGTAAGTTAGATGAGTTAAAGTTGGGTGAGTTGATGATGTAGATGCAAGTAACTGGCACACTTTCGCTCAGTGTAATTGGGCAAACAGTGGAAACGTCTGTCGCTGACGCTAAGTAGTTGGCTCAGACGGCAGATTCGGGTTCAGATTCGGACTCGGATTCGGATTCGGATTTGAATACGCGTACTTTCAGTTAGCTCCTTGTTGATTTCACTTGCCCGCCTCCTCGCATTTTCCCTTCCGTTTTCCGAGCAAAAGTTTGGCGCATTTATTTGCGTAAATGGCAGGCCGGCAAATCTTTGCTGCATACTTTTCCGGGCAGCTTTCCCTTCAATTTTCCCCGTCCCTCAGGCAGCCTTAATTTATGCATGTCACTGACAGTCGTAACCATAGATATGGTTAGGCATAATGCCATAAGCACTCTTCAAACGCAAAAGAACAGCACATTTCCGTTTTCATTTGGGCGACGAATAAGTGGATTTGCAGCAATTTGCTGCTTTTCCACTTCACTTCGGTAGGCGTTTGCTGAGCTCTTGCTCGACAGCTGATATCCTGTGCTTGCTAGGTAGTATTAGTTCTGTGATTTTATAATATTTTATGTTCAACTTTTTAATTACGGTAGAAGTACACTTTCTTGTTTCCTTGTGCCGCTAAAGGGCATGCTCGCTAGTCGCTATTAAGCGATTTTCCCCCAAAGTCATTTCCCATTCAAATTGACATTGTGCATATTGTAGGCCACCCAGCCTGGGCTGCCGCCTCGTCCGGTCCACGAGTACCTCCTTGGGTTTCTGGACGGGATGGGACAGCACAATCCCCGGCAAGTGTCAGCGCCTCCTGTCGCCTGTCGCCACTCACAGTCACATTTACAGTCACATTCCCACTCCCATTCCCATTCCCATTCGCTTTTATTGCTGTGCACAACATTTACTGGCGAAATGGAAAATGGGAAATGTAAATGAACGAAATGAGCTGCACAGCAACAGACAAAGATAAACAAAAATAGAATTGTCCAATTGCAGGCAAGACAGGCAGTGCTAAGAAGTTGCCGTCGCCATTGCCATTGCCACTTCCACTTCCACTTCCACTGCCATTTCCATTGCCCTCATCGTTTGAAAATTTATTTTCGATTTCTATTCCCCCGCCCCCCAGGTTTTCCCGCTTTTCCTCCACATCATTGGCCTATCAATGTGCGCTGTGTTGACAGTGGCAATTGCTTGAATAAATAAGGGAGCCGAGTGCCAGAGCGCAACCTTCTGGGCAAAGTCAACATGCAGAGTGGGGCACCGCCCACTGCGCCGCCCACTGCACCACCCACTGCGCCACCCACTGCAACACCCATGCTGAGGAAGATGCTTACCATTTTCCGCTATTCTCGCTCCAAAGTCAATGCGATGCGAGTGGAAATAGTGGCAGATTTTAATTATTAGCCCCTATGTTCCACTTAAAAAAAAACCATTCGAGGAGGAGAACGCCAGTCGCCCCAGTTTCTCGCAGTGCACGTGTGTGGCAGCAAAGTTGCCGAGTGCATTTCTCATATTTTGAAATGAATTTCCATGCAGCGACTGGGAGAAATGAGCTGCTGTCTGCCGGAGAGCCAAACAAATGACCGGATGAGTGAGACAAAGCAGGGCAAACAGAGGGAGACGCACTGAGTGCAGAAAGTATTAGTGACTGAAGCTAAATAACCGAGAATTAAACAAGCATTTGCTTGCCACGTGCAAATACATGCACGTACTATTTGCTGGTTGGCCGAAACCTCGCCTAATTGCCCTGCAAATGAGCAGGGCTTGGAGTTGATTAAAAAATGTGAGTGCAACTACCGAAAGATTTCGCATCTCGAAGATAACAATATGACGGATTACTGGCCTTGCAAGCCGAATGCAATTGTCCCCATGCCCGCAAATTGGCTACCAAAAGCGGAGGCCGCCGCCTGGTTTTGCTGCCCTGTAAGCCGCTTACCGAGCCCCGTGTTTGATATACTCGCACTCTTCCCTGCAACTCGAATTGCGATACATTGCATCGGTGCATCGTGCATCGTGCAACATTCAAAGGATGCGCGTCGATTATGCGGCTTGCTACCGCGCTTATTTATTGTGCCCATGGCGCCGGGAACAATGAACGTGGCTAACACAAAAAATGATGTTGTGGAATGCGAATTACGGGGAGCTTAAGCTCTGGCCAAGGAAAAAAGCATGGCCATATGCATGACTATGGAAATGTGAAAATGCCGAAGAGCACAATACGCCGATCCGTGATAGATGGCCAAAATCCCACATCATGCATTTAAATATTGGCATTCATTTGGGTCGTTTTCGTCACTTTGCAGTTCCATTGGGTGGAATATAAATTCGTGATTTGCGCGAAACTGGTTGGTGTTGGCTGTGGCCAATAGTAACGCTAATAAAACGCTAGTTGGAGTGTAGAAATCGCGCACTTTTAAATGTAAGCATAAATAATTACTTCATCTGCTAATCGGCTCATGCACATGTAATAAATATGCGAATTACTTGGGGAAATCGGCAATCGACAATCGGCGGAAACGCTGGGTGGACAGGTGGATTGCGTCACGCGACGCTGCGCGACATATGTGTATGCAATTATTTTATTTATGCTCGAGCGCCGTCGCCAGGCACACGCACACATGCATAATTCAGGGCTCACATGCACGTACAGCTGCCAATATTTGATTTAAGCACACAGCTGTGTGTGTGTTTGTGTGTGCGCCTCAGTCGATGATAAAATCCTTGGTCCTTTCGAGGATCGCAGTGAAAAGTTGATGGGTTTTCAAGTCAAACTCGCGAATGGAGTCCTTTGGGCAGTTCGAAGTCTCACATTTCATTTAATTTTCAAAACAAAAAGTGTTCACTTAATTGCATTTGGTGAGCAACAGTTTAGTGTTTTTTTGCAGGCTATTTCATTTGCATAATTTCAGTGAACCAATGGGAACATTGTGACACACTTGGTAAAATTTCCGGGAAATCACATCCGCGCTGCACGTGATTATGTAACATCAGTGTGTTTCACGCATGGTTTGCATTAAGTTTGAATTATGCATTTCTATTTGAACTTCTTTGGCGACGTTTTTCCATTTAACTGTGTACGTATATTTTCTTTGCTATTTTTTCTATTTTTCCCATTTTTCCTATTTTTCCTATTTTTCTCCTTCGACTTTGCTACGTTTTCCGCAGCGCGATTGCTTTGCCCTTTCAGATTGGAGCGGGTATTTATTTAATGGCTCATACTTTTTGCCACAGCATGCATTAAAGGCTGGGGAAGGGGGGATCGGTGTTTTCCCAGTGCTCTTGCGGGCTTTTCCGGCAGCAGGAGGGGAAAACCGAGGGGCGGCAGCGTTGGCAGCTTGGCTTTAATCCACGGCTCGATTCCTGGCCAATAACTCACAGGTGCACATGGCAGCGTCCAAATGAAATGAAATAATGAAAACAATTTCAACGCCCGTTCATTGAACTGCATTGCGGGCGATGGAAAAGCAAAACAAGAGCATGGCCAAAGCAAAAGCAAAGCAAAGCAAAGAATAAACAAAACTCTCTGGCCAAAGACCTATTAGTTATGCTACATGGGTTTTATGGGTCTTAAGACTTAGCCACCGCCGGACAATCCGGACACGAACTGGGCAGAAATAACAGAAAACCCAGAAATACCAACAGTGGCTGATGGGGAAAATGGACAGCAAGAAAAGTCGGAGTCAGGAAAATGGACGAAGGCCCTGCATTTGTGCTGCCCATCTGTCTGTTTTATGGCCGGGAAAATCTAGAAATTCAAAACACTGCGGAAATTAGTTGTGCATGCCTCACGGATAACTATTCAAAATGCAGTTTCCTACAGTTATTTATGTAATGCTTTAATATGAACTGGATATTATATGGTGTTACCTCCAAACTCGGTTATCAGGCATTGCAAAACCAAGATCCGTGTCCATGGCGTCCTTTGTGTGTTGAGGTGCGATCGTCACTAGTGTTTACCTCGTTAGGAGCGCTTTTGGCAGCACTGACGTGCCCGGCAAAAGGAATTGGACACGCTTGCGTTGGGTCGTGTGCCGCCTGATCCCTTCGATTAAAATCAGACTCGTACGCCTTCATTACTCAGAGGCTTTATGGCAATCCGTGATTGCACATAAACTCACCTCTCGATGATGTCCGCCCAGCAAACTTCAATTCGTACATTTGATGTACATGCATGTACATTTATGCCTCAAATTCGCCTCATTTTTGAGCAACTTGAGCGCAGTTTGTTGCCTCGGCTGCCAAATCCTTTGTGCGCTCATTTCTGGCCGACTTCCTTGGGGGCGTGGCTCTGGTGGTCTCCTTCCGCCTGGCTGCTCGCTTTGTGGCAATCAAAATATCAATGCAAATTATAAGAAATCGCTGGCATCCTCAACGAATCCTGCCCTTTGCTGCTGCCTTCCAGCTGGCTTTCATTTCCGCAAAATGTCACGTACAGCGAGCGAGCAACATGTCCAAAGATGCAACAAACTAAATGTTTCGCCTTTAAAGCGTCGCGAATCCCCCAGCAGCATCCGCTGAATATCAAAGGACACAGCAGGCCATCGGGATGGCGCCGGAAGCTCTGGCATATTCGCCAAAAAGGACGAACAGGACGAACAGAAGTCGAGGAAGTCTTACGGCTGTGTGTACTATATATGCATCCATACATACACGTCTATATTGCGAGGTTGGATCACAGAGTTTCCCAAAGCTGGCTCTTCAATCAGGCATCGCATGCCATTTCCCCATTTGCAACCTGGTTGCGTTACTATTCAATCGCACTGCCTCCTTGACTTTCCTACACCTTGTTACGCTGCCCCTTTTCTATTCCGCTCTTATTTTGATAGTGGAGGGCCATCGCAACTTTGTACTGTCAAATGTCAGCCGCCCGCCAAGCGGCCACGCCCACTGCTCGATGGTAGCTGGGCGGACGTGATGTCAGCCAACGCGAGTGATGAGCAAAGAAGGCGAAATACGAAATCGGTCGAAAAAATGAAGTAACACATTGCTTTCCATTTCCAGCACACTTGAACATGCTTCCGCACTTAGGCGAGTGCGTTTAGGTGGGGGGTAGCGGGGTGCAGGTTCCACTCCCACTTCCAACTCCCAACCACCCACGCTCTAAGTCGAGTGTGCACTTCACACGCCGCCCAAGACTCACATTACCCACTTAGCATGCGATTGTCTCCAAATGCAGGCGAGGTGACCCCGAGGAGGGAGTGGGAAAGCCACCAACGAGGTGGCAAAAATTGATTAGTTAGTTAGTTGCTTGGTTAGTTAGAGCTCTTCCCAAGTGTGCGCATAATGTGCGCCAATCAACTTCAGATTAGGGGACAACCTGGCCAGCTTTCCCATGGCGCCAACGTACATCCATGTACATCAAGGCATAAACGAATTAGTTCGTTTCTGCCGCAGCAGCAACTCCGTTTATCCCGGAGTCCCGGGATAATGGCCCCAGATGCGGAGCCCCGAAAAAGTGGCCCCCAGGTGAACGCAGAGCAATGCGCGGCCTGCCAGCTGAAAATTTAATTACATCACAATGGCGGCGGCGGCGGAGAGGGGGGTTTGGGGGGGTGGAAATTTTCGGAAAGTCCAGGCCAAGACAGCGCCACATTTTTCACATTAACGAAATGCTTTTAATTGTGCACTTAACGCTCGTAAAATGTGATTTAATAGTTTCGGCGAATGCCAAAGGGCGGGACTCGCAAGGGAGAAGGTTCTTTTCTTCCGCCTACCCTCCCCCAAAGGGGGTGGGAATGTCCTTCGCCGGAAGCGGAAGTGGATGTACAAGTTGGCGGAGTTCCTATTCAGCCGCAACACAGGCAAACACTTTCGAGCACTCGCAAAAGAAAGCTCCAGCTGCGAATGTTCTTGGAGGAGAACCTTACACTCAAGATTTCTCGCTGTGCAGTGCGACTCACACAACTGCAGACAACTGACAGCCCAATTTGGAGCCGCATATAGGTGCGAGCTTATCGGAGACTCCATCTCGATGGAAACTCCGTCGCCCGACTCCGGGGAATGCTGGCAAACAATAGAGGCCAACGGTTGGGCACACGATGACGAGAAGGCGGAGTGTCGAAATCAATACGAAGTGGGTCACCAAATGGCTCCCAGTGCGGTCACTTAACCCGGAAGCGAGCCCTCAGTTCCCCGATGGCCAACAAACTGCCGCCACTGCGGAGAATTCTCGCTGAGCAGCAGGACGCCAACGGAAATCTGGCGGACACGTTGCACACGGAAAGAAAATGCTGGCCAGTTCTTTTTTTAGGAACACTTCGGAATACTGTGGCTGAAAATAAGGGGTATACCCCACATTGTGGCAATACAGTTTATTTGCTGAGCAATTTAGTTGAGTTGTATCCAAAGCTCCCACGGCAGCTCGCGAGGATTTCCCATTCAAAATGATTCACTACGAACTCCTTAGCATTGGTTGCGCTGTGCGCTGTTTCTCCTTCGGCTGGCTGTCATCCCAGTAGCCGCAGATCAGCGTGAACAGGCCGTGCTCCGTGGACAGGAAGCCGTGCATCCAACCGGCAGTCAGCGTGTTGTCCACCGCCAAACGCACCTCGTCAACAGCCTTGCCCTCCATTTCGGCCACGTAGGCAGCCACCTCGTCCAGGTGGAGTGGTCGGTGGAACACGTTGAAGGCCTCCAAAATTTGGTCAGCGTACAGGTAGCGCGTCATTGGCACGGGACTCCAAGGGAAATGCTTGGTGAAAGTGGAATTTGAGAAATCTCTCCAAAATCTAGTGAGTGAATTTTACTAGGTCTGTAGATTTAATGGGTGGCATTTCGAAATTGCTTTATATTTCTGCTTAGGCTTTTGGAATCGCCCCCTTTTCGCTGGAACAGTTTCAGTCTGTTTTTCCATTTGGCTTCCCCTCCTGGGCGACCACTTTCCCAGGATCCCACTCCATGGCCAACGAGATGGAGAGTGGCGATTATATCGTTTACATTTACATTTACACCAAGTGCAGGAAAATCGGAGCGCCACCCACTTTTGGCCCATTTAGTTGTTGGTCGTTTAGCATTCGCATTCGCATTCGAAATCACTTCTAGATTTGTCATTTGTGATAAGCAGTGCTGCCTTGGAAAAGGCACGACCCTTTGAGCCAGGAACTACTGTACAGCCACATGTATAAATTAGGAAATCACGCTCGTTCTAACTGCATTCGCAATTTGCTAACAGATGCAAATTGAAATGCAGCAGAGCACTGCGGACAATCTGTGCAATATGTTGGGAAATGTGAACAGAGTTGCACATTATTTGGCGCACTAAGCGAAAGGAAATATGCAATAAAACCACGCAGCTCATAAATTAAGTACATAATTACATAATAATTAAACAAGCTATTCGGTGCCAAGAGTTAATGAAATGTGTCAAGCTGCGCAATAAGTTTCTTTACTGTCCCGCTGCTTTAATAAAATGATGCAAAAATCGATGAAAAGCCCCCAGAAATGTGTGCTCCTCCGTCTTTGACTTTGACTAATGAAAGTGCGAAATGCCGCATGCCACACTCAATAATTGCTTGGGGCATCATTGCCTTGCATAATGCACAGGCATAAGTTCCATTTAAGTTCCATTTATTCATCCGGCTTGTAACAGGTCAAATGCCAATCACAGGCACTTTCTCCTTCCAATTCCAGCCATATTTAATGATGCCTGTGGCCAACGATGCGGCTTTTCACTTGCTGGCCGGCCATTCGATTTGAGCCGGGGATTTCCGGCAAGTATGCAAAAACACGCAATTAATTCCGATCAATTATCGAATTAGTCGGGACAACTGTGTTCAATTAATCCATGGAATTTCGGCTAATACCATTTTGCACTCGACTGCATTTCTTTGTGCCGCATAACTCACCGACTTTAACCTGCGTCAAGAGCACTCAAGGGGCTCGCTAATTGAATGCTGAATTAAGGACTAAACAAGCAAAGCACTTGGCACCTGCTTGCCCCCTGGAAAAACAACAAGCCGCAAAAGCCAAATATGTAAAAATATAAACAGCAGCAAAGAGCATCAAACAAACATTTGGCTGCAAATTAAGGTTGTCAATGTGGGTGGGATGGGTAAGCTGCTGGGTGGCAGGATGGGAAGGAGGAGCGCAACGTTTTGGGGTTTTCGGATCAGGTTCCCAATTGTCCATTGATTGAACCGTTTGTTGCGGCCCAGCCGGGGGAAATCGGGAATGGAAATGAAAAATCGAGGCGGAGGAAATGCGGAAAATAAACCGATGGAGCGGGGCGAAACCGACAGCCCGGGGCAAACACAAAATCAGAAGCAGGACACGAGTGCTGTAATGGAGTTTTAATTGTGCCCCATCCGGTCGACGGCCGCCCCCGGCATTTTCCGACTTTTCCAGGCACAAAGCGCTGCCAATTGGCAAATATGCTTTGACACACACCGGAGCGGATCGCATCGGATCGAAAGGCCACAAAGCCAGCCCAAAAGTCCAAGAGCGGCACTCCGAATGGCAGCGGCGGACAAGTTCTGGCTGAAAATACTCCTAATAAAACCCAAACTCCCATAGTAAGTTGCAATTTTACACTGTGCCTTATGTGGCATATAAAACGGGTAACTCTACGTTCGTTTAACTTCAGGATCAAACGATTCCACATCTATATGCTGGTGAATTCTCGCACCCTTTCTCTCTGTGTACGCAGGACTCGCTCACAAGCATTGGGTGTGTGTGTGTGTGTGGTGTGGGTGTGCAGAAATTCCCGCCTCATTCCGCAGGACGTGGCAACCGTCCCGGAGATAATGCCAACAATCAGAAACACGCTCTAAGCGCGCTTTGCCCAATGAGGCGCAGCAAAAAGCGAACGCAAACATGAAGCTGGCGAACTAGACGGATGCGGTTCCACCGAATTTCGCATGCCCTACAATCTAGTTATAAGGTCGAGTAGATGCCAGCAACAGAAGCAGCAGTCAGTGAGTTGGAAACGCTATTTGCACACTTGGAACTCGTTCGCCCTCATTTCTGAATGGCCAATTAACTCGCCTATTTCGCGGTATTTCAGTGGGCAACCGAATTCGGTTTTTGATTTGGACTGTCAAAACCCTGTGTGTGAAGAGGATTTGTGCACTGCTCATCAATAACCAGACGTTTGAAGCCATCATGAAAATACATTTTTCTTAATATTTACTTATGGACATTAAGGGATTTCACTGGGCGCTTCTGCAGGTGGATACGAAATTCTGTTTATAGCTGCTGCTCCGTGTGTGTTAATGCTGCAGGCGTTCTGTCGGGGCAAGTCCTGCGGGAGGGGAGGGGAGGTGTGCAAACAGACGGCCGGTGCGGGGGCAATTAAAAATTTATTGAAAATTGATTTTTAAGCGCTCATCCCCGATGGCGCAGGCACAGGACTGGCTGCAGATGCAGATGCACTGGTGCATCCCCGGCGGTCAGCGCAGCTCCCAATTGTCAACGTTGTCTGACGACCAGACAGTCGCTCACCCTCATCCGCAGCCCATTCCCAAGCCGACTTAATTGCAACGCTTAAAAATTTCCATAATTTTACGCTGTCTGTGTGCTTGGCTCTTCAGAGCCGGCAGTTCTGGTTGCCCTGCCGCCGGTTGTGTTCCGCCGCCCGTTTCTGGAAACTATAAATACATCAATTTGTAATTAATGCAATCATAATCGAAGGGGTTGGCGAGGAGCATACTTTATCGACGACCCCTTTTCGCTGCGGCGGCCGCCATCCTGAAGCGATTATGCGATCCGGCGCCAAATTGCTTGCTAGCTGCCAGCAGCGCCGACGAGCCGACCACCTCGTCCTTCTCCGGCAAATGGGCCACATGCAGGATATCGTACAGCAGCTTGGCGCTCTCCTGCGACTGCAGCAGCTCCTCCAGCTCCTTCTGGCTGCGCAACAACAATTGCCGCAGGCTGCCGCCCTTCCGGAGTAGGCCGTGTATATTCCGCGTGTGAACGCCGGGCAGCCGTAGCAGGAAATCGTAGATGCCGCTGTTGAAATGCAGCTGCTCGCCCGCCGTTGGCTCGTCGCTGCCCAAGGCCGCCGCCGTTTGGGGATCCGGTTCCGGTTTACCCAGCTTCAGCTCCTCAAAAAGCTGGGCAGTGGCATACGGACTGGGTGACCAAATGAGTCGCAGTTTGGGAAAATGCAACGTGAGCAGTTGCAGCTTCTGGACAATATCGGCGTTGGCCATGCTGGTCTGCTGGGATAACATAAATTTGCCCTGCAGATGAAAGGGTTTATTCTGATCGAACTCGATCAGAAGAATGGGCTTGGCATAATGTCGCTGCATCTGCACGCATTGGTTGTACAATCGTCCCGAATTCAGCGACCCAATCAAATCCGAAATGGACTTTCGCTCCACACAAATATCTGGTGTGAGTATATAATCGCCAATCGTAATGGTCAAGGGCAGCACTTCAAGACCACGCTTGTGAATCAAACAGGGCAGATCTGAGCGGAACTCACGCATGTCCACTATCACTTTAGGCGTCTCTTTGGGGGCTTTAGGAGCTTGCCCACCTGCTTGACGACTCTTCGCATTCTCATCCGTCAAGTCGTCGTCGTAATTCTTTAATAACAAGAACGCTTCATCAGTCTTTCCATCCTGGTACTTTGGAATCACCATTCTCTGTAAGGAAGTAGCGAACAAGTTGTGTTACAATGTAAGGCACAATATAGTTTGCGAAACTCACACTCTTGGTCTCGATAATGAACTCGAAGGCTGCCTTTTCCCGACGCAAACTGGTCAGATAAGCTTGCTCCTCCACTGTGCGCGCATGGATCAGAAAATAGACCTTCATGCGATCAGCAGGCGGCAGGCGACGCCTGGCCTCGAAAACCTCCAATTGCCGAATGGCTGTCACATTCATGTTGTACATGACCACATAGTGCGGCTGCAGTTGCTCCAGCATGTGTTCCAGTGCCATGGAACCCTCCCTCTCCGTTTTGAAGGTCTGCAAGCAAATGTAGGGCTGATGAGGCACAGTGGCCAGGGCCGCTGTGACATCAAATTGTTCCAGTTCCGGTATGGTCTCGAATATGGACACATCGGGATCGGGTTTAATGTCTATTTCAGGCTCGTTTTCCACAGGCTGCGTCATGGTGAGCATGTAGCTCTCTTCGAAGTGCTGGCCCTCCGTTTCCGATTCGCTTAAAAGTTGGGCCAGCTCATCCATAGCAGCTGGAGGTGGCTGCGAACTGGAAACCTCTTCCTTGCGAGGCTCCTTTTTGGAGGAAGCATTGCTTGGGGGAGCTTCCCTGGTTTGGCTCTCTTTGGCGAAATTGTCGCTGAGTTTGCCCACCGGCACTTCATGATGCAACGCCTGCTGGAGCAGAAAACGTGGGCCGCCTTGCGTGAGATACTGTTTCAACTGATGACATGTGCGTGCATCCTGGCAGAGGATCAGAACTTTCGGCTGTTCCGATCGCCTACTCCGCCGCATGTCACCGGGTATTTCCTTGGTGAGCAGATCCGTAAGAGTTTGCCATTTGGGACAGGCTTCCGGTTCAAACTCTATGCAATTAATGAAATTATTTAGATGGCTAAAGCTTTATGCTCTTGGTGATTTGCCTACCCTGCTGGTCATTGAAGACACGCTGCCGGGATCGCTTAAAGATCTGTTCGGCGGCATCTAGTAAAGTCCATCCCGAGTTGCTCAGGGCATACTCCGTGCTCCGATAGCGTTTCATAAAGGCATACGCGCTCACAGCATCGTGGTACATGGTGGAGCTATCAAAATGAGGTAATGGAAACCAAAATGAAGTGTAACTTTTATACTCACATCATCAAACTGCGCAAAATCTTAAGATCCGCTACGATCAGCTTTGTCTGAGAATTTAGCTGATGCCAGATGCAATCGAGCTGCGCCTGCAGGATCTTGTGGAACGTTTTGGTCACACAGTTCTCCACGGTAACGGCCTCCATATCCACGGTGCGATTGATCCGCTTGATCTCCTGCACCAGAAAGTTCATTATCTCCAGAATGTGTGACTGAATGGATGTCATGCTCTGGCTGATTGGGACATGCATCTCGATTGATTGTATCTTCCATGGCTGCAAGACGGCACGCACGCTCTCATGGAAACGGGGCCAGATATACAAATGCTTCACGAACAGATTGCGCATGGTCCGCTCCACATGCGAGTACCCAATGGTGAAGGCCTCCGGGCTGCTGGAGAAAGCCTTCACGAATCCGGTTTTATTCTTCTGACGGAACAGTCGCAAGGCGAACGCCTCCTGGCAACTCTCGATAATGGTGTGCGCCCGCAGGACAATGATTCCGCTTATCAGCTCGATGGGAATGCGCTGCTTCAGCAGATCCACCACCAGGATGCGCGTGCTGATGAACTGCAGCCCGCCTTCCAGATAAACGCGCTCCCTATCAGCAGCACAATAATAATCAAAAAGGCTAATTTCCTATACTTTGTAAGCATTGCAAGCACTTACCTTTCGGTGGCCGTGTTTGCCACTTCGTGGACGTATTTGGGTTCCATTTTGGACTTGTAATACTGCTCCTCCCAGTCGGAACTGTTGATCACAAGCACCAGATTACCGGAATCGCTGTACGCCTTAAGGATACTGATTACAACGCGGTCGTAGCACAGGCCCCTATGGGAGTTACAAGGCTGTGTTAGTCTGGACCACAGTTACTGCATAGACGACTTACTTGGCGCAGACCAAAAGACCATCGGCCTCGACCAGATCGAGAAACATTTGCTTTTCGTAGTCCAGAAGGACCATGTTATTGCGCTTCAAGTACTCCTCCACGTCCTCTGCTTCCTGGGCGGCGACGTCGGCGCTGGTTTCCAGCTGCTTGGCGGGCTCCACTTTCTCCGGCAGCTCATTGTCCGTCCCTTTATCGGCATTTTCCGCACCCGAATCGGACATAATGAAACCAATTGGCCAATTCCTTGATTTCGCAAATCTGCCGCTTCAATCAGCTGTTTGTGGCTATCGATAGTTGGTTGCGGCAGGGCTGCCAGACTGCCGGGAAATGGTTAGCAAACACAGTGCACGGCGGTTGATATGTAAGAACACTACTTAAAGTCCTGAATTATTACTATTATTAGTTTCAGCTACAGTGCGCGACATTGTAAAAGCCATTCCTCCAAAGAGTGGCTATCTGAACATCTGGCACCTGCTCTCAAATGTCATCGGCAAGTCATCGACAAGTCATCGACCAGCCGCCTTCGATAAGCCGCCTTCGATAACAGCCGTAAAGTGTGCACGTGCAGGATAGTTTTAAATATTGTCATTATGTCTCAAAAATAAGCTGCTCCTAAGTAAGTGGGTTAAGCTATTTAAGAGCGCTGTGGAAAATACCGAATATCCTTAAGAAAGAACTGCGAAATGCAAAAGGCAAGCACTTCTGCTGGCGCCAAAACCGCGGGCAATCGCAAAATGCAGAAAAGCCCAAATAACGGTGCAGCTAAGGCCCAGAAATCGGCGAAGACAGTTGATACTGTAACTGATTCTGAGTTGCTATATAATCCGCCTGCCTTTTTGACCGCGGCGGAGAAGGAAAGGCGCAAATACCTGCAGGCCCGTGTGAGAGCTGAAGGCGAGTCTGCATCAACATCGAGTAAGTCGAATGCAACCAGGCCCACAGATCGCAAGCGTCATCTTCAGGCGGAAGACCCACTGCCGGCGGATGCCAACAACAATGATACCAATAAGGGGGGTAAGGTGGCCCAGGAATCTGCATCTACCCAAGCAGCCGGCACCACCAAGCGCAAGCAACCGCGCAGTCAGGGACTAGAGCAAACCTCGCCGATCATGGTTAATGGCGAGGCTTTGGCCTGCCCTTTGGTGCGGAAGTCCCTGCCGGCAGCCGGTGCCTCTGGTCCTGCCAAATCCTGTCCATTGCCCGTGAAGCGCAAGTCATTGCCCCCAGAGGCGGCCAAGTCGTGTCCTCTGCCGTCGAAAAAGGACAGTGTGACCAAAAGCCCAATGACTGTCCATGAAGCCCCCAAAGTGGACAGTGCCACTAGCAACAGCAATGAGAAGCAGCTCGCAACCATGCCAGTAGACATCCACAAAACCGACAGCATCGAAGAGGGTCGTCGCGTCCTGGAGTGGTTAATCAATCCCGTCGCAGTCAATCAGTTCTTTGCCGACTTTTGGGAGAACAACGCCTGCGTGGTGCAGCGGAAGAATCCCAACTACTATAGCAAGCTAATGTCATTTAAGATGATTGACGATATACTGATGCGCAATCGTGTGGAGTTCGGCACCAACTTGGATGTGACCATTTACAGGAACGGCAAGCGCGAGACTCTGAATCCCGAGGGCCGTGCCTTCCCGTCAGTTGTATGGGACTTTTATGCGGAAGGCTGCAGCATTCGCATACTGAATCCTTCTACCTATCTGTTGGGATTGCGTCAGGTGTGCAGCATTATGCAGGAGTTCTTCCACTGCTTGGTGGGGGCAAATGTCTACCTAACTCCGCCAAATAGCCAGGGCTTTGCGCCCCATTATGATGACATCGAGGCCTTCGTGATCCAAGTGGAGGGACGCAAGCGCTGGCGCTTGTACGAGCCACCCGAGAAGGCCGATCAGCTGAGCAGGACCTCGTCGGGCAACTACGACCAAAAGCAGCTCGGTGAGCCCATAATTGATGAGGTCTTGGAAGCTGGCGACTTGCTATATTTCCCCAGAGGCACCGTTCACCAGGCCATCACCGAGAAGGGACACTTCTCGCTGCACATTACCTTGAGTGTGTACCAACAGCAGGCATACGCCAATCTCCTAGAGACCCTAATGCCCATTGTTCTCAAAAAGGCCGTCAAAAAGAGCGTGGCCTTGCGTCGCGGCTTGCCGCTGCACACCTTTCACGTGTTGGGTGAGGTCCAAAGGACCAATCGCTGCGAGTCACGCGATCAGCTGGTGGAGAATGTGCAGAAGTTGGTGTCCAAATACTTGATGCCCTCCACACAGGATATTGATGAGGCCGTCGATCAGCTGGCCAAGAAGTTCCAGCACGAGGCATTGCCACCGATCATTTTGCCCGAGGAGAAGGTGCGCACTGTATTTGGGTCGCGCAGCATCTCCGACCAGGAGGGCAACTCCGTCTGCGATTACGAATTCGACACAGACACATCCGTGCGCCTGCTGCGCGCCAATATCCTCCGCCTGGTGAACGAGGACGATGGAAGCGTGAAGATCTATCACCATGTGAATAATGCCCTAGAGTATTGCAAGTACGAGCCCAATTTCTTGGAGATTCTGCAGGAGGAAGCTATTGCCGTTGAAGTTCTGATATCGGCATATCCTTATTACATCACCGTCGACCAGCTGCCATTGAAGACTGTTGCTCGTAAGGTGGAGGTCGCCACCGCCCTGTGGGAACACGGTCTTCTTATGACCGAGAAGCCATTTAAATAGGAGAGAATTAAAGCCAACAAGATCATTAGAATTAATATACATGCGAATGTTCTCTAGAAAAACCATAAAACCTTTTTTTTGTATAAATTTATAATCAGATTTGTAAACCACATTCGATGACCACATCTATCTTGGCATTTTCTTATGGTTTTAACTTTTATTTGGCTTACTAACAAAGAATGGGTTTTCTTAGGCGCTGCGGATTTTCTTGCGTTCGCGGTAAAGGCTTTCCTGTTGAACTGAAAAATAAAACAAAAACAGGAGTCAGTGAAGTGCATAAAGCCGGCGACGCATCTGTAAAAAGGCAGCACTCACTGTACGGATCGAAGCGTATTATCTCCAATTTGTCGGCCAAGCGATCGCGAAAGGCATTATACTGATGGCCACTGACCACACTTTCCAGTACGACCATGATTCGCCTGTAAAAACGGGTGGTGCTAACAGGAACGAAACACTTTGAAGAGATGGGTCACTCACTTGCTCTTAACCTTCTTGAATAAAACGTTCGTCAGGCGCATCTTGATTTAGTAAATTGGGAAAATGCTGCAAGATTGTGGAAATATGCCGCTGAAATTGTTGTGCAAGCGAGACGATAAAAACGGAAAACAGCTGACTCCGCCTATCGATTACCCGATAACCAGAGCGGAGCCCCGGCTGGCTGAACTCGAGGTTTTGCGCCGCGTGTTTTAAAAAGAACTCAGAGCGCGACAGGTGTTGCAAGGCTTTTATATCAAAAAAGCTCTCCGCTGCTGAATTTTTGAAGTAGCGAAGCAGGCAGCTTTTTTGGGTTGAGTCCGTGCTCTTTGAATGCTTAAAAGTTAACATAGAGCAAAGCTTTCTGTTAGCGGCGAATTTGGTTCAAGTCTTTGCTAAGGATTGCGTCCGTGCTACTGATTTTTATCGATACCCAAACGAAAGCATTGAAATATATCGGCGAGAAACATCGATGCGCGATGCATTCGATGCTTTTTTTTACATCACTAACACTCGTGCGAAACGGACGCGAATTTTCATTTGTGCTGCGGAAACCAACAACAACAGACAAAATAAAAACAAACGAAAAAAAAAACGGTCAAAATTCCGGGTAAAAACTTAAGCGTTGAAAATTAAAACAAAAAATATATGCACACTAAAAGCACAGGCCAACAGCGCAAAGTGAAGTCCTTCGTGGGCAAAACCGTCAAATAAAATAAATCAGAGCCCCACGCGCTTTTTGTCACTCCTTTTCGCCTTGCGCTCTTGTTTTCCTTTTTTTTGTTTTTTTTTTTGAGTTGGCCTGCCGAGAATTTCTCGCACTAGCGCGTGGTAAACAACACTAATTTTTTTACGGTGTTAGTTTTTTGAAAGTGCAAAGAACCTAAGAAGACAAAGATAACATAAAAACAGAAACTAAAAACCAAAGAGTGGCAACAACAAACCAACAAAACGGAATCAAAGTCAAACAAACGAACGCACCGTCAGACGCGAAGGAAGCTTCAAAAGAGAGACAAGAGCGAAAAAGGAGGTGGCGTGGAGCGGAGAGGTGGAGAATCTAAGGTAGGAGGCAAATTGCGAAAAATGCGTGTTTCTTTTTTTTTTTGTGTTGATTTGCATATTCAAAAGTTTTCCGTTTCGAGGGTTGCAAAAGCGAAATTAGTTTTTAAAGCCAGCTTTACAGCCAATTTACCAGAATTGCGAATGCAGCACAGCACATTGTTATTCTTCAGTATAAATTGGCTCTTCAGTAAATCAGTAGAAATAAACGGCAAGATTTCCAATAATTTTAAGAAAAATCTACTCTTTGATAAAAATGGTAATGTGATCCATGTGTAAGTTGTTTTGTGCGGTACAAGCTTTCGATTGCTTACAATTTTAAGCAGAAAAGTTAAGCGAAACGTTTTCATTGTTTATCTTGTTTAAGCCCAGAGACATAATCATACATCAAACGGCAAGTAATCAATTGGGTGCCTGCAAGTACATATCAGTTTCTTTCTGTGCACCTGGTGAAGTGCTCAATTGTTGATACTTCGAGAGGGGGGTTTTTTGAAAAGCGATCGGAATTCGAAATGTAAATGATTTATCAAAATGTAAACTTGGCCGTGAAGATGGGCCAGAAATTGCTGAAACAGCGGAGGGTGCGGGAGGCGAATGAACGGAGGAGGAGCAGGTGAAATACATAAACAAACAAGTGCGCGAGGGGCTACGCAAATACATAAGTAAATGAATAAATAATATAAACAAAATATTAAATTAGAAGAAATTCACTTGCGCGCACGCCGACGCAAGCAGGATTGCAAGGGGATGGATGGAGGGGGGATTGGGGGGTGTGGGAGGAGCACACATAAAATTGAAGCATTCAAATTTACACACGCAAAAAACGACGTCGGCAGAGCAAACAAAATTTTGCCCAAACTCTCGCTCGCACCCACCGGCACCTGGTCGTCGCATCTCGCTCGCACTTACGACGGCCACTTGTTTTGCCCTCTGTCGACGTCGACGCAGCCACTGTGCACTGAAAAAAACTCAAGACTTTGCACAACGAATTTTTGACCCGCTTTTAGGAATGACATTTGTTATATATACACATGTATTATTACCACTGAGTAATTGATTCACGTCCGATAAAAAAAAACCATTTAAGAAACGAGCCCCAATATATTTTAATACGCCCAATTCCCATTTAGGTATATCATTATTTTACTGATAAGCTGTTAAAAAGCAAATACTCATTTTCATGCTGTTACAGTTGCAAATGTGCATTATGCATGCTCTACTGTAGTGCTCTGTAGCGTACTTTTTGTGGCAAGTGTGGCGATCAGAAGCTTTACTCTGCTTCTCCCTCATTTCCTTTTGTTTGTTTAAACTGCAGCCGAGCGAAAGGGGCGTGCCAGTGGGCGGTGGGCAGTGGGTGGCATGGGATTGTGCAATAAAGCTATAATAATAAAATAACAAACAAACCGTTAAGGCGAACGCCGTCGCACACTCATCGCACCAACACAAGCTCACCATAGGTGTGTGGGTGCACGATGCGGGGGAAGCGGAAGAGCGGGGAGAACAGGCAAAGGAACAATAATCATATTTGCAATTGCTCTCTCGCACGATCATCACCCACGCGGAAAGAGAGGAGAGAGCAGCAGAGAGTGCCAGTACAGTGGTCACTGGTCGGGCGTAGATGGCCAGAAAAGAGGACCCTCAGAATTCGAAGTACACTGTTCAGTTTCATAGAATGTTGTTTAGTTTCTTCAAAATACTTATGCGGATTATTATTATTTTTTTTTTATAAGCATTTGTCTGTTTCCATCGAAAGGCACCACCGTACTTGAGATAAAAGTTCTCCGTTGCTGGCTCTCCGTTCTCAGTTGGTCAGTGGTCGTCCGCCGGAGCTTTTCCCGTTAGTCCGCTCGCATAATATAATCCGCGATAAACAAGGGAACACGGGTAGAGAGCGAAACAGCAACGTGTTTCGTTTTGGTTTTAATTTCGGTTTTGTTTGCCGCATGTTTACCCATTGTATTACTACCCCTTTCATTTTTGTTTATGTGTACATTTTCACTGCAATAGCAAATTTGTTTGCAGTGGCTTTGAGCATCTGTTCAGTGATAAATACAAAAAAGTGCAACCAAATACTGTCGGGTGTCACCTGTTGTGAGTATAATTAAGGAAACACCGAGAGAGCGGGGGAGTGAGAGAGCGAGCCGACTGATCGAACTGTATATCTTGCAATGCTCTTCAAACTGAAATTCGCAAGGCGGGAAAAAACAAACAAATATAAATAAACAAGAATAACAAATAATAGGTAGCAAAAGCAAAAACAACGAAAGCCGAAGCCAATTAATTAAATACATACGTAAGTTAAACACTAGCCGACACGAACTATGATCAGGACACTGAGAGAAAAAGTGCTGCAAGTGTAAGCACTATAACTAGTCCATAATTAATACCATGGGTAACATTATGAAATGCCCTCCGTTTGATTTTAAATTATATGGTGAATTGAAGCTAAAATTCTCCTTAGTCGTGACATTCATGTTTTGGAGTATCTTAAATTCATGTGCAAGTTTACTGAGTCATCGTTTGCTTTTAAAGTGTTTATTATTATTATTATTCAACAGAGAGCCCATTATAAATCATAGGCATTATAGGGTATTTAAACGGGAGATCAAACACATGCCTCATTTTGTAATTGATAACGAATATATTTCCAGTTCCGGAAATATTGTTATCTCTCATATGGAAATTGCTTGGTAACAATTTATGGTCTTGTATGCAGTAAACAATCTTGAATTATCATAAATTATCAAAAATCGTCGAGGATTACCAATGCGAAGATAAAATGTTGGAGTTTTCGCCGTCCGTCCATTTTGTGGGTTAAAAAAATCGCTTTCTTTTGTGCCTATATATAGAACACCGGGTCCAGAGTGCAGGTGTTTGTTTGTTTCGTATTCGTAGTTTTATATTCGTCGATGAGCAGGCGAAATATAAGTGGGTTGAATTACATTCCTAACTACAGATTAGTTTGTTAATAAAACTGCTTGTCCGACGTCGTGTCTCCGCGCTCCATTTGGCATATCCATTTGGATGATACCATACCATACGAGCATACAATGAACACCATTCCCATTCGCACTTTTATACCCATTGCCGCAATTATAGTTCGCATTATGCATTTATCGAGTTAAGGCCTTTGTGCCTCCGTCGACTCAGTTCACCTCGCTTGAGTTGAGCCAGCGATTCAGTAATTCGGATGACATTGAGCCCTCCAATGAATGCCAATATTCAAAGTGAGCACACGGCGTATGCGTAATTTCTGTAAAGCTCTTCGGCACTTTGTGTTACTATTCAGTTACATGTACCTATGTATTTGACATTTTTTATCCTATATCCCATTATGACTAACTATATAATGCTATAGTACTATTTCAGTGTTGAGCTACTAATTATCTGAAAAATTAATCTCCAAGTACGTAATATGGAGTTACAGTCGACAGTTCAAAGTGAGGAATACATTATTGTGGGCAAAAATACTGGGTATTTTATTGGCCAAATACAAATAGTCATAACATTCTGTCAGGCTATTCACTACCAAACTGTCAATCGTGTTTGAACACCATTTCGAAATTAGAATGAATTGTGTATTTTGCGGTCCACCGCAACGAAACTATAATGAATTTGGACAGTCCCATTCGGATGTTGCAATCAAGTGAGTTGGAAAAAATGGGATTTCGACATGCACGTTGTCAGTTATATTCGCATATGTTTATTTAAGTTTGTTTCGCTTAAGTTTTATTCGCATTTCTTGAAATAAAAAGAAAGCAGTTGGAGTCTAAGACTAGTAAAAAATTTTATTCTAAATTTTTTTTTCGTTTCGGAAATATGTACCTTGGCAAAATGAAACATAAAAGTTATCTAATATTCGCAACAAATTTGTGGTAGTGTCGTAAAATATTCACTACTGGATGGCTAATAAACTCCTCCGTCATCCGTGCCAGACCTGGATGCGCCGCCAGTCAGTCCTTTTTGCATCCTTCAGATAAATCAATACATGGCATAAAGCAGGAAAATGGCGGCCATGCCCATTCTGAGTAAATTGTTAGTCATGGGGGGTGCGGAAAACGAGGGCGCCAGACAGTCCAGAGTTCCGGCCACCACGTGGTATACGCAACCATGAAAAGTCCCCCATTTGCAGGCACTCAGGTATAAGATAAAAAATCGAGGCATGCTCATGTTCTTCTTCAAAAGCGAGATCTCCTTCTGTAGTTCGACTTCCAACCCGGTTTGGCGCAACATCTCCTGGTACTTCCTGTTGGAAAACGTGTTTTAACAAACGATTTCATCCCAAATAGTGTCTCCTTTTTTTTTATATGGTTATAGGGTGCATCGGTCTCCCTGACAACTTACATCTCCAATTGAAGCAGCTCCTGCTCGTAGTGTTTTAGGGTCTCATAGGCGGCGTCCAACTCTTGCTTTTTCTCGCCAAGCGCCACCGACATTTGGTCGTTCTGCTGCAGAAATTGATCCTTAATCGTGAGCAATTGATCCTCCAGCTCGGCGTTTTCAAACTCAAACTGGAGGGCCCGCCGCTGTTGGTTGGCCAATTCGGCGGCGCCCTTGCGATAATTGGCCAGCTCGCGAAACATATCGGAGCGGAAGCTGTCGAGCATCTCGGCGAAATATTCGCACTCCAGCGACTTGGAGGCTAGCTCGTTGCTCAGCGTTACTTCACGGATCCTCAGCTGCTGCAGCTCGTTGTCCAGTTCGGCGCAGCTTTCCATGGTGACGCGGACGCGACTGACGGCCTGCATTAGCTGATTGTTCAGCTGCTCCCCTCGTCGCTGCTCCGAACAGATCATTTGGTTGCGCGTAAACAGCTCGGTTTGGGTGCGAGCGGCCTGCGAACGAAGGCCAACTTAGGTGCGTTATACATGTCGATCTATCTATGTCTGTTGGCTGCAACTTACATGGGCTTGGTACTTGCGAACTAGCGTATGCAGATCGCAGACTTCGGCCCTTCGCCGACGCCAAAGTTTGGCCAGCACTAGATTGAAGAACCTGATGGCCAGGAAGCGGGTTTCCGCGTCCAATTCCTGCGGCGGAGGGTCCTCTTCGGTTAGCTGCATAGGCTGCACTGATTTTTCTTCGATTTCTGGTTCAATATCTTCTGGATTCAGGATCGAATTACGCGTGTGGGTTCCCTTCACCTGGCCCCACGATCCTGTGACAACTGGCAGTGGTTTATCATCCAAGTTGTGGATTATCGGATTGGATCTATTGTCGGGCTCTTTTCCCGACGAAGGCGGTGGTGCCAGTCGATTAAACATCAGCTGCAACTCGCCTGTGGTGCATGTGCAAGGAAAATACCACAAATGATTATTAGAGTCATGTCAAATTATGGCCAGAAGTCGTTTTCCTGTGTTTCCGACTGAAAGTAATCACGTATTCACCAAACAGTTGGCCAAATTGGTTGAAGTGTGGATTGTCATACCTTGTTGAGCTCGTAATTAAATTCCCAACCGATTGGCGTTCAAATTTGGTATCTTTAATTTTATGCCAATTTTTGCAAATTTTAATGATGTTACCCCTTTCAAAAATGTGAGAATTGACCGAAAAATTAATTTTTGCAAGTCCGTTAAAAAGTGATAAGGGCCGTTAGCATAGGTAATTAGCTTCACAAAACAGTTTGTTGTTCAGCTTTATGACCATTTTCAGCCAAGTTGTGATGAAAAAACTGTTAGTTTTACTGATTTTCCGTCAAAAAAGAAACCGGGTTTTGAGCAGAAAATTGAAAATAATGTTCCAAATATGATTTGCCACTCTTAACAGTGTTGTGAGTGAAATTCACATTGACTGCCAAGCTCACCCATCCCGTCCTGCAACTGGCGATCTATGTCGTTCCAAGGAGTCGCTCGCTCATTGGGTGCACCCATATCGACGGGATGCAATTCCTCCAGCTTCTGCAGCTCTTGATAGTCGAGCGGTTGTTGGTTCTTCGACCGCTTCGGTAACGACATGCTGACCTGGCCTATGCTAATGCTGTGTTCAATGTATTTTAATTGTTATGGTCAAAATGTGCCGAAAAAGTTACGTGGTAATGAAAATTTGTTTCTGAACCTGTTTCAATGTTCCAATGTGGAAGTGTGCATGTTATTGTCACTGATTGACAGTCCATTCACAGCAGTCTACCATTCAAACCATTTTTTTCAAATCATTTTCGGAAAGTGACTGTTGAATGTGATTTTTGGAGTCCTAGTCTTCTTCAGAAGTGGACCGAATTCCTTGTGTGGATGCAGCTGCTTGGGGGCTCCGCATGTGAATTTAACCACGCTTAGCTTGCTTTCGAGGAATGCTGCTGAGTTCATTTAATGGCTTGCCTTCAACTCATTTCCGCATCCATTGGCCACCACTACGCGTACATGTAGTCGAAATATCAAACGAGAAAATTACATTATTGACTCACTGACGTCGTTGCCGTTCTCGTTTTTCTCCGCTCGTTCAGTTTCTCTTTCTGTTTTGGGGTTTTGGTGTTTTGATGTTTCGCTGTTTCGCTGTTTGGGTGTTTTGGTTTAGGTTTTCCTTTTTTATGGCCAGCGCGCACCGCACGCCATTTTGACAGTTTGAACGCTTCGCAAATAAACCGTTAGGAGGCATGGCGTTGACAGCATGGCATCGCGACGCCTGACGCTCCACTGCAAAAAAGAATGGAAGCAAACAGTGGGTTATGTTTTCATGGAACTCAGAGACCTATATTATAGCACTTAACTGGATACAAAGAGAATTGATTGAATACGGATACCTACTCATTCCATGTCCATTTAATGGAGTTTTACTTTTTCGAACCCCTGCCAGTTTTTCCCCGTGTGCTGATAAATGTTTGCTGGCCGGGACTTTGTAATATCAGCGATGAAGAGGGGAAGCCAGGAAGGCGACCATGCTTCGGCATTGGAGTTGCCTGTAGTGGGTAACATGTTTTTTTCTGACTGGGCAATTACCTGGCACACAAACGGCGACGGATACATGACAGAGAAGATTAGATACGACCCGGGGACTCTCAGATACAGATACATTTGACGAACTGAGTTCTCTGCAGTGTGCAGTGTGCAGTCTGCAACTGTTGTCATTTTCAAGAATAAAATTGCATGACAAAGCACTTGCGCTTGATTAAAATGTAGCCAATTTCGTCTCGATACTATTTATTGAACTTTCGTGTAAGTAGGTTAGATATCCACACAAGCAGGCCGACAGCCCATTAATCTGTTTATCTTGCCCTGCCAAGGAGGTTCAAATTGTGTTAAGCTCGTATCTATAACTAGGCATCGATAAATGCCCAAGTGCATATCGTAATTACTACTTCTCACCGTATTTACTCGATAGGCACAAGTACTGCTTGAAGCGAAAGTATCTGAAGGTATTCTGGCAGCCAGAAGTATCTCATGGCTTTCGCTTTCGATTTAATCAAAGATTGCTACCGCAACACGAATAAATTTAACAAACCCAGGCCCCTAGGCACCGGCTCAGAAAAGCATGGGTTGTGGGGAATGTGGAAGTTTCTGGGAAATCCACGAAAATCGAATCAGGACCAGAAACACACCGACACACACAACACACAAGCACACAAGCACACGGGCGGGCGAAAAGTGAACAATTTTATTAAAGCAGCGTGTTGCGTGAAAAGTCAAAAGGTTTTCCCCGAACCGCTGCTTCCGCTTGATTGACCAACTGACGGCATGGCAAAATGACTGAAAGGCCGATTGACAAATGGACGGGAATCTACCTCAGTGATTATTAACTTGAGTACCTATACTTTGAATAACGCCCAGTTGCGAAATTTGGGCCATGTTTTTGAATGTTTAAGAACAAAGCCTGTGATATCTAAACATGTTAGATACTTGAGTAAATATAAAATACGGGATATTTCAGTAAGATTAGCTTAGCTCCATCCCCAAAAATTTGGCTTAGTTTTAATTAAAATATCATTAGGCCAGCAGAATGACTGTTTTCTGAGCCTTGGCAACGCACTAAGCCAGAAACCAAGGGAGCAAAGAATGGAGCAAAGGAAGTGGGAGTGAAAGAAGAAGTAGGTTCACTGCAAACATCATCAAACTAATTATGAACAAGCTGAGCAGCAGCAGCAGCAGCAGCAGCAGCATAAAGTCGAGTATCTTTTGCATATGAAAGCAGCTGGGAAATTGGAACGCTGTGAAAAACCCCTTTCCACCAGCTCAACCCGATTCAAGTCCTCCCGCTGCCCAGGCCACCATTGATTAAAAGTTTTCAGAAAAGTCAACACAGGAGCTCTGGTTTTTGACCAGACCAAAATGCAATTTGCAGTGAAAAGAGTCACAAAAGTTTTGTTGAATTATTCAGCGCATCAAGATGAATTTTTCAGCTGCGGAATCATGTTTTGAATGTCCAGGAAAACGGCGGAAATCTACACCGCAAGAAACGAGCGCATGGTTATCACATGCGGAAGGCACACAGAAATAAAATTCAAAGCGAAAAATATGCGTTATACATATTTCACTCTTTTTTTTATTTTTGAAATTTTGTTTGCCAACGGAATTGACTGTGGTAAATGTTTGTTTTGCATTTTCTTGTTGTGTATTTAAGCGAAATCGTGCGTGGGCGTGGCACTCTCTGTCTGCCGCCCCGTATTTTTGTGTATGCCGTAAAGCTCGAGAGCTTATCCCAGGCCGTAACCCCCCCGCACCCCGGAATTTCCACAATCCCCCCTGTATTACGGCCTGCCTTTTTTGCAATTTCGCTGCTCATTTGCCAGCTTTTTTATTTGCATAGCCGTCGTCGTCATCGCAGAGTTTGCTGCTGCCTTCGTTAGCTTTACCTTCGCTTCGCCTCACCTGGGCTGCTGTATTTTATTTTATTTGCATTTGTTTGTAAATGATTAACAAAGAGGTTAATGTGCACAGCGAGCGAGATAAACAGCGAGCAGGGAACGCCAGCTGAGTTTCAGCCGCTTTTTCTTTCCCTTTCCCTTTCCTTTTTTTTTTTTTTGTTTTTCTGCTCATTTTGAATGTTGCAAGGCAAGGGCAAGGCACTGGCTGGATTTGGTTGCTGGCAAAGGGGGGAGGGGCAGAAGACATACAGCATTACAGCATACAGCAAAGGCCAATACGCGGCACTTGGATTAATACACTGCCAATGGCAACTGTCTAAAATGGAACAATATTTCAGAATCTTGCTTTAAACTCAGTTTGTAGGGCTTCATTTTACTACTCTACTATTTAGTTTGTTTTACAGTGCACAGTGCACAAAACTTGTGTGGAGAAATGGAAATTTAGTTAATTAGACACCGCTCCGCATGTGCGAATGTGTGTGCTCTTTCCGCTGGTATCTTAGTGTGTGAGTGGCGCTGGGTGGCATCATTGGGGATGCAGCATGGATGACCTTCAGTAGCACATACATACACGGGCAAAACCATTACACTTGTGCTCGTGTGGATGCTTGGCTCTTCTTTTCTTTTATTCTCTCTTCTATTTCTTTATTTTGTTTGATTTGGAAAATTAAGGCCAAAACTGCAGCAGCTGAGGGATTTGAAATACGTGGGAGTGTATATACATATATGTGCGCTTCCTGCAAACCATTTCGATTTTAATACATATTATTTATTTTGTATTGCAGTTCATTGCATTGCCCTGCTCCGATCGAACTCAACTAAATGTTGCGGTAAGTTTATTACCTCTATTTATTTACCCCGTTTTGCTGGAAAATGTGAAACTATGATATTACCCAATTTATATCACCATGATTACTATTTACTGAACTTTACCCACAAAACTAAAAAACAAAAAACTGTAAACAGGCAATCGCAAACGCGGTTGTAAAGTTTAACCGACAGCCTACTACTCTTTTAGTTTCTTGGTCTTTTGCCCGGTTTTCCTTCGCCGAAAAACCCCGAGAACTTTTGAGCATGGTGAAAAGTTTGTTTTGGTTTTTATTATTTTATTATTATTGGAGTTGGTTCGTTGGCTCCGTTGGTTTATGTATGTATATTTCATACGCCATGTATGCCGCACACGCATTGCTACACACAATCCCAGACACCCACACGCACACAGATACAGATGGAGATACTCACGCATACAAAAGTTTTGTCATGGATTCGAGTCGGCACGCCTCAATGTATGCAACACACTTGTGGCTCATGTTGTATTAATATAATCACTTTGGGAATTTTCCCCAACCTACCAAGGGAGCACTGAGGAAAAATCTGTGTTGAAAATGCGACGGTTCATTTGGACCTGCCCTATTTTGCTATAGATCGGTTAGGCAAGATTCATTTTATAACATGGCAGGCAATGTAGCATAAACTGAAAAATTCGTGATCAATTGCGGCGAATGTGGTAAATAAACTTTTCCCACTGCCTTTTGAAATAAACATAAGCAAACAGTTGGGGTGATGTTTACCTTTTCCGAAAGCAGATGCTACACCCTTGATGTACATTTATTTTGTGCTGAAAGTATTTTTCTCAGTGAAAAGCAGAAGCAACAACACGAGCATGTTAAATGGATATTAAACTATGACTACTGCGGTTTCCTGTACTTTTTGTTTTTTTTTTTTTGTTTTGTTTTTTTTTGTTTTGTTTTAAGGGTGTTTCTGGTCCTTTACTTTATCCCCCAGTTTGGCCAAAACTTGCCCATTATGTTCCAGTTGATGTTTTGTTGGCTACCGTGTCCGCATCTCTGATTATGACAGTTAAATGTCGTGCGGCTTGTTTGGCGAGTCTGTTTCAGTTTCATTTTCAGCTTCGGTTAACGGGGCGTATGAGTAATCTGCACTTGAAGCTCCCTTAACCTCGAAATTGTGGACAAGGAGAGTTTCAAGGAAAGGAAAAGGGTTTAAACAGATTTTAATGCTCCTCTAGAAGATATCTATAGTTTTCTATTCAACAAATTTCACAAAATTAAGCTAAGTAGCGAAATGCGACATTTAGTTTGGGGCAAACATTCTTTCAGATGTTTATATTGGCTAAACGTTCATGCCTCTGATTGAGGCACTGCACGTTCCTGCAGTAATAATACTCAAGACAATGATTTATAGAAAGTATTATTTACTAACGATAGTTGGCCATCTCTATTAAGATGAAATAACTTTTGCAGCGTATTCGGAGAATGTTATTAGCAGAAAAGTTTTCTAATCTCACTTTTGGCTTCTCCGGTCTACAGCAGAAGTGCCCCGCCCTGGAAAATACCCGCTCCCCCATTATGGAACCTTAGTTTTTGGGGCCTTTGTTTTAGCCTCGTTTTCCTTTTGTCATAATTTGGGCATGTTAATTTGCTGGGCTTATGGCTTTTGAGTGGCGTGCCGTGCGTATCGTTGTCGACCCTCAATCGCTGTCCTTTTCCCCTCCCCTTCACGCACCCAATTTTCCTCAGTGCTTTCCATGGCCAGAAATAACACACAGACATCCGCACACACACACACACGCACACGCAGACAGATGGATGGGTGGCCATCAAAAAGTGTAGCATACAGTTTTGCGTCGCTTATGTAATGCAATGCTCTAGCATCTGACGTTGTCTGCCTTGACTTTCATCCGTACGCACAAGTGTGCGAGAAGAGGGCAGAGATAGCGACGAAGACGGAGACGGAGAGAGAGCAGGAGAAAGTGGTAGCAGGGCGGAGAGAAAGTGAGACAGTGTGTGAAATGGACCTGGCTACGCGCACATACATTAGACACTCGCCTAATGTTGGCGTCATTAGCCGCGCCACCCATCCAAAAAGAAAAAAACCCTTTTCCTTGACCTACGCCCCTTTGCCACTTTTAGCTTCTCCCCAAACTTCTTACCATTTTCATGCCTTTGGCAAGACTTGCCCACTGAGTGAACTCTCGCCAGGCAATTTGTGCACAATATAATGCCTTTCTTCTACACAAGAACAAGCTACGTTTCCAGTTCACATGCCGTTTACTAAAGTTGCATTGCAAATTACTACTACTTATGTTACATCTTTGCAAGTTTAGTATGTTTTCAAATATTTTATATATGAAAGAGAAGAAATACCTATGCTAACAAGTTGTTGATCCAATGAGGGAATTTACATTCTGTAAATCTTGGATTTCTTCTGTCGAAGTTAACGTGTTACTTGGCTGGACTTGTGTGGTATTAGGCACCTCCATCGCTGCCTAAAGCCGCCCAAAACCGTGCCCTCGTAATGCTGATGACATCGGTGGCACAGACTGCACTCAAAACAGCGAAACTCGGGGCAATCTTGCGCAGGCGGCGCATCTCATCAGGCCCAGGAATGTGGAAAATAAAAGCGTGATTCCAGGGCTGGCGGGGTCTAAAGAGGACAAGAGGAGAATAATGGCGTCACTGACACACACACACACTTACTTAGGTGGCAAGCCACACACAAGCAGAAATAAACACACACCACGTTACCACCATTTTGTTGACTAATGATTTACAAAATATCCTGCTGAGCTACCGTCACATGCATGGCACACAAGTCAGGTCGCGAGGAGAAGGACACCAGGACACCACTTGGCTTCTCCTTACACTCGAGAAAAAGCAAGGAAGAAATACCGTCTGCTTCTCGGTAATCGAATTATTCGACGTTTTTTCATCTGTTTTGTTTTTGCGGGGATTCCCGACTGATTCAAACGTGTTGCCATGGACAAACATGATTAAATTGCCAAATGATTTATTATATTGTATTCATTCATTCCTATATTTTCTTGCAATATGTTATATACTGTTCGTCGCAGTGTGTGACACATTGTAGCCTTTTTCGTTTCTTTCTTTTTTGTTCGGCTTTTTATCCCTCGATTTGATGGCAATTACCAACAAGCATCGACGGCATCCGAATTCAACTTCTAATCGGAATGGATCAATGTCAACAGCCCCATTTTGGAGGTGGGACATATTCACTTCTGTCTCGGCATTCAATTAGAGCGCCAAGTGCAATCAGAATCGTATGGCAGCCAGGGCTTTTTGGGGGCTTCTGTTGGCTCCAGTTGTTTCTGGAAGGTCCTGGGGCGTACTGGGGATCGAGGGTCATCGGGATCCGGAGATGACGATGGCGATGACGATGCCAACGCCAACGACGTGTCCATGGCCGGCACATGAATGTGTAACCATGTCTAACGCATTATTTACACAATTCGCCCAAGTTAATTGGTGGCGATGCCGAAGTGGGGCTCCATGCCCATCTTCCTCTCCACTAAGCCTCTCGCACATCAGACATATTTGTCTGCTGTTTATAAATGGATACAGGATTCCACGCAGGACGGGAAGTGACTGACAGGCAGACGAGTGAAACGATAGACAGTGGGCCTTTTAGAGGACCTCCCGCCCCGTCAAAGTGTGCGCAATTAATTATTTGTCATCGGTTTCCCCACAGTTCTTTTCATGTTCCCTTTCCCTCTTCCGTTTTCCCTTTACATGTTACCATTGAATGGCGTTTTGAAAGGCAAATTATGGTAACGGCCTGCGCTGTAGAGTGGGATTGCAATCGAAGTTGTATATTTCGTTTATTTGATTATTAAAGTCCAATGGGTGTATTTTAAAAGACGGCATACTTTAGTTCTAGTGAGTTGCAGCTCAATTATTTCCTGCAAAGAATCGAGAAAAGGTTCGTTGAACCGATATTGTTTATTCGCATGTATTTTTGAAGTCTGCAGTAAGTTCTACGTCCTTTGAGCATTTCAAATTGATGATTGTTTTGTGGGAACTTTTTCGCTCCTCTCAGTTTCTGCGTTTTTTCTTTATACATGTATATACACACTTTTTTTTGGCAATCAACGAAGCTAACACCATTGTGCTGGCTATTACGGGGAGGCTGAGAGGCTTGGTATTCATTTTCAACTCAATATTGACCGAGACAAAATATTTGGATGTTTTTTTCTGTTATTTTTTTTTTTTTGTTTGCCATTGGCCCCTCTTTCCACTCGCTCCGCTTCATGTTCACCAATTTCCCCGGGTTTCCCGACTTGTTCCACGGAAAGTTCGTTGTCCTGCTGGAAGCGAAAAAACAGATGACGGAAAAAATCGCCTGGAATTCCTCTCGAGCTCTGCCCTGAATTTATGCTACAGTTATGGTTCTGTTTTGGTTTTTCCCTGTTGATGGTGCTGAAAATGATTTCCGGGTCGCTCATTAACTCCAAATTTGATTATATTTACTTCACGTCTCTCTCTTTGGTCTTTCCTTCGCCCGCTTTTGCCAGCAGGAAAAACTTGTGAAAAAGAAAATAAATAAACGAATGTGTCCACTCCAACTGGGGTTTGCTATCCAACCTACAGACACGGTTAACAGAAATCGCTGCATAGTTTACGAATGTATACAAATTATGGGTCTTTAATCTTTTGACTCGACTTGATGTATATATAAATATTAAATTTTGCTTTAGTTCTTAGCATGCTTCGTGATTCGCAATTAAGTTCACTGAATGTAATCCTTTATAACTTCAACGCTGCGCGTGTAATTCGATGAGCTTAACCTTTTGATGGTCGCCTTGGAAATCGTAAAAGCCTGCGAAAAGGTAAAAATAAATTAACCATAACAATGGCAAGCTAAGAAGCATTAGCACGAACATCACTTTATCAAAATAATAAACAAAATGCGTTGCAAATGAACTGAAGCGAGATTTGTGTGTGCTATGGCACCAAAAACATCTATATCTCTCTCGTTTTCTATACACTACATTGTATATAAACTGAAAAAT